CTATGTTAAGATTCTCATATCATACACCATTTTTTAATTTTCTATGTCCTAGATATATTAAAAAATTGAACCCCTTTCTCAGCAATATTGAAAACACGGGTGCTTACACTTGATAATAAGAGTGAATCCGCTGGGCTCTGCCTATACAACATTGAGCACAATTTAACAGACCGGTAAAAGTTTTCATTTCATTAAATAAAATGTTAAGGCAACAAGTAAATCTTTCATTTTTAATGAGATTTTCTAGCCCTTTAATGAACTCTTACAGGAAGCTTTTCGTCGCAACTGATTGTTATTTCACACGGTAGCACGTCAAATTACCTCATTCACCTACTTTTCTTATTAAGTAAGCTCAACATTTACCAGCTAGTCTCCAAATTTGCAACATTACCAGTTCACATTAGAAGTGCAGGTATCGAGAATCTGCTAATATTGAGTAATTAGTGCAACTCATCTACACTGTAGTTCATAGCAATAAAGAACACTTTTGTAGGGATGTGGTAAAAATAAGGCGAAGTTGTGAAATCTATAAATTTTTATTACCTTGATCGTGAAAAAATCATCATGAAGGACATTGTTTTTCTTGTATCTTTCAGCTGTAGAAAAATCAAAATGTTCAACAAAATGACATTCACAAAATAACAAAATAACTTAGGGCCTTAAAGATAATTTAACAGTTTAAAAGGAATTGATCTCCAAGGACTTTTCCATTAACACCCATGAAAACCAACAAAGTTTGTTTCAAGTATACATTTTTATGCATTTAGTACAAACACGCAAATGGACCTTCTTAATTGAATGAACGTAACGTAAATGCAATAGTATCTGTGGTAATTTCTAGGGCCATATTCCTTGAAAAGTATATTGTTTGCACACAAGTTCGATTGGCTCTACCCTGGGTACCAGAGTCTCAGTCAAGAGTGGATCGAAAACAGTGGAAGGCCACTGAAGTCCTCCCCTCAACCTTTTTCAAAGATGAGTTTTTCACTGTTTTTATTATCTTTTAAAAAGAGTATGATTTTTAGTTGTAAAAAAGGGGAAAAAATTTTTATCCTGATTGATTTTATTTGTTCATTAATTAACTTATTTACCCAGCTTTCTATTAATTATTTTTGTATTAACTTATTTTCATTAATTCAGTAAATCACAAAGTCTAACAATTTATATTACCAAATCTTTTCTTGGTCTTTCTACCATATGATGGCATTTTTCCTTCGACTCCAACTCCTATCACTAGAGTTTTATAATAGCTCCTCCTTTCCCAACTTTTCCCAATAAACGATGATCTGTTTTTTTCTGAGTAATGTCAAATTGTATAACCTAAGTTGAGCGGTGTAGGGGCAAATTTAAGCCAAAGAGATGTCTTTCTAGGCAGGGCCTACCATATGCCATATCGGGGCTCCAAATTACGCAAAAAAAATTAGGCCACGCCCTGGTTTTGCTCCTGTAAACCCCCTCTCTCTGAATTTGAAAGTTAAGATGGGCTTTATACAGAGCTTTGAAGCGTGGTTAGAATGTCCATCTTCCCCGCAAACCTTCAGCCTGGGCTTTCTTTTATACAAAATAGGGGTGATTGCAGTGTTAAAAACTTCACAAAATCCACAGCAAAGTTAGCTATGTGTCAATTAAAAACAAGTGAACTTCTGAGCCCCTCTCCCTCCATATATCTTGTTCAAGCTGTTACCCAAAGCCGTGACATGTTAAAGCCTTCGTTCTATCTTATTTCGTTTTGACGGGCCAACTTTGCTTTAAGATTGTCGAGAAATGTATAAAACATGAAGAACACAAAATTACTTTCACACACTTTAAAATCAATTTTAGGGCCCTTTGGGGTTTTTTTGGGAGAAAGCATGGAATGACGACGCACCATCGTTGAAGAATAAAAAAGGTCAATTTCGAATATAGGCCCCTGCCAGGGTTTTGGTCCAGGGCACTGCCCCAGCTGTACCCACTGATCTAAAAAGGACTGGATCGAACAACCTATTGTTCTCCTACATCAGCACGAGGAAGCGATCGAATTTCTCCACCTTGACACCTCTCGTGAAAGCTCTTGCGGCCGAGTTTGCATTTAGGTCAGGCAGTACTTGAGAAAGTCTGCGCTGTACCTAGTTGTACTTTTTTTCTTAAGAATGTAATAAGTAAGAGTTCACGAAAAACCGATGTTGGTTATGTTAGCAATTTAGGCCCGAGTTACACGACGTCGGATTGGTTTTCGCTTCGGATTGCCCACCCCAATCCGAAGAAGTTGCACTTCGCTTTTCCAAATGATTACACGACTTTTGCTCCGCTTTGCCTCGCTGTAACACGATGCAGCGACCGGGCTTAAGCCAGAAGCGACGCTGGGCCTTGATTTTTCTCCTTTTCCTGATGCAATAGCTACAAGCAGCTATTTGTTTCATTAACAATGTTCTTCGTGCTAGATAGTTGTGAGTAATGAACTCAAATAACATGCTTTTCTGCTGCAATAAAGTGGTAAAACCCGTAAGCATGCCAAGAAAAATTGTGATTAACAATGTGATGTCAGCCATGTTTATGCTGGGTATATCCTTCTTCAAAAAGCGCGCACATTTTGCACATAACAGAGGCAACGTGATCTGAAACGAGGTTTCGGAGTGAAAATCACTTCGGATTCAGTGTTTAATCGAGAAGGAATGCGAAGCGAAGTACTTCGGATTGATTTTCACTTCACCTCCAGAGCGGAGTGACTTCGAAGTACTTCGGATTGCCTCAGCGTTGTGTAACTGAAATCCCTATCCGAAGTGAAAAGCAATCCGAAGTGAACCCAATCCGACGTCGTGTAGCTCGGGCTTTAGATTAAGCCTTGGATTGTTATGTGACGGAAATGGAGGCAAATGCCAAACCGTTGGCCGGTGGCGTGGTGGCCGGGAGGGCAGGGGGGACACGTGCCCCTCCAGCAACAAGGAAGCAGAGACTGCCGAAGACGATTCAACTCTTCAAAGGGGGCGCCAAAATCACGTGGAAAACAAATGTGAACGAAGAAAGCCATTCGAAATAGCCGAGCTCTGAAGAGGCGCATATTTCGATATGAAGACTTCTCTCTTTCGTCTCTTGTTTCTTCCTACACACTCTCACGCCAATATGCCTTCCTTTTCTTTTTCCTTCGGCTCGGCTGTCCTCACACGGGCCACCAATGCAATGTAAAACCACTTAAAAGGAGGTTTTACCAACGTGAGTTCTTTGTATGCAGAAATGCTCAAAAATACGGCCACGGCGGATAAAATCAAAATTGATTTTTTTACGGCAATGATTCTACTAACGACTGAAAACAACAAGTTCGACAAATAACGGCAGGGCTTCAACAGGCACGACAAAACTAACGACAGAGCTTCTAGCAGTACGGCAAAAGTTTCGACAGGAGTAAACCTAACTTATGAAACAACCCTTTATTTACCCTTAGTAGAACCTAGAAATAATAATTACGTAATGCAAAAAACATTTACAGAGGCTGATGCAGTCACAGCACAATGATGCAATTGTCACGTGATACTGTCTGTAAGGAAACCCTGCGTCGTAACTTCATTGGTCGTGACACACAAGTAGACGTTACCTAGCGAGGCCATAAATATTCAAAAACAGGAAGAAGCATACAAATTTAAATAAATCGATTTTACGTAAGCAACTTAATGTATCGTAAATAGCATAATTGGAACTGAATAAGCCGTAATCAAATTATCTGAGTAACCAGAAATCTTTAGCTTGTTTGCAACAAAACGTTTATACAAATACTGTTCTTTGTAAGGCGATTCATTGTCCTATCACATTACGTTTATTTTCTTATAATTTATATTGTAAGTGGATTTTGCCTCCGGTTAAGCGGCAGGCACACATCCTTCTCCCATACTTGTGACAGGTGAAATGTACTCAACAAATGATCAGATTTGTTGCAACATACAAAGTGAATCCGCATTAATGCAACCATACATAGAAAATGGATGCTAAATATGATGTAAGGAATTGAAAGGAATTTTCGAATTTTTAGACTCTATCTACTTCAAAGTGAATGTCAGTCTCTTTTGATTTTGTATCTTTTTCAAAGTTTTAGTCTCCATGATTATCTAAAGCCCATTTGAATAGTTGTTCTAATTTTCATATTTTTACATTTAAGCAATTAATTCCCTCTTGGTCTTCGTGCCTTCCAATCCCTACGTCACTTAAAACACATGAATTTTTTGCTCCCATGAAATGTTCTTTGAAAACTACAAAATTTCAATTTTGAGTCATCTTCACGCAATCGGCCGAAGATGTGGGCACGTTCTTCACTGCCTTAGCAAATTTGATATGCAGCGTTAATTAGGTTTATCTCATCAGTGACACTGCTCGATAAGCATAGCTTCTCAGTGTCCTAAAAACTACCTTCGGATGCTAGGTAGCAACAAATAGAAATACAAAAATACAAAATACAAATCAGTTTTGACTTTGCGGATCGAAAGAATCATACAGTGGTTAAGTAGTCCTTGGGTCATTGATGAACGAAAAAAGCTTTTGAATCTCCTTAGAATTGATACTGACCTTTCACTAGTGGGTTTCTTGCTGAAGACAAACTAAGAAAATGTTTCTCGCCAAACAGATAGCCTCCTTTGCAGTTGATATTGTTTATCATAGGAGGCTGTCTGTGATAAACAATATCGTCATGACAGTCATGAAAATTTAAAATCATGATCATCTAAAAATTTAAGGAAATTTCAGTGAATGGTCCTCCAACAACGCCTAAATTTAGGTTATTTTACTTAGTTTCTCAAGACAAAATATCTGGCAGTGAAAAATTCAAACAATAAATTTTCCAAAAAGGGCACTTTTTAAACTTTTTGCAATAAAGGGGGCCGGTGCCTCCGTTGCCCCTTGGCTCAGGCGGCCCTTGAATCTAACTTACTAGGTATATTCATATGTGCAGTAGTTAGTTATTCATATCTTCAGTACTGTATGTAACGTAGGGAACTGATTGCTATGAAAATCGAATATAATGTCAATATATTCAGTGAGGCACCAAGAGCATTTGAAGGACAGTTTCCAATAGTTCCATGTCAATTTCTGAACGGCACAAAAACATGACGGACAAATCGCCGTGATTTAGGGCGAATTTATCAAGGCTAAATTCGTTTCTACGATTAATCTACTTCTATCGATGCCTATTCTTATGCATTTTCCCCCGATTACAATGTCAATATCTTGAATGTCTTCATACGTGTATGCAGTGAAAGCCTTTTTCGAAAAATTTTGCACGAGAAGGGATGAAAGGGAGGCGACATCAAAACGCTACGAATAAAGGACCATGACGCAAAATCAATTATCAATGAAAGGCGTCCTAATCGGCTGAACCAACTATTGAGTTAGTCATACTACCAATTACCGTACAAAATTATGACACAATGCCGGAGAGAATATGCATTAAGCTTCTTATGATGAGCTATAGCAGGCCAATAGATCAGAAGCCCAGCAAACACGCACGTATACATAAAAGTACAGCAGATGATTAGAGCTCAGATCAGATTAGACTGCCAAGGTGTAGGAGAGGTAGGAGAGCAACACAGAAGTAGGAGAACCAACAGGTAGGTAATGTTTCTCTTCCGGGAAAACCTATTCTGATTTAGCTGCTACAACAGAACATAAAGGCGAAAATCTTCCTATTTTAGAGCCCTACTTTTGGATTCCTGTTTAGATTGTATTTGTTTTTTTTTGTATTTGTTGCTACCTAGCATCCGAAGGTAGTTTTTAGGACACTGAGAAGCTATGCTTATCGAGCAATGTCCTGGTCCTTCCTCTCGATGTGACCACACCTCGTGATTCCTACGCCTGGAATTACAGAGAGCTGGTGACTCTCCCCACTCTGGGTGAAAGTTTGGTCATGCCAGGGACTCGAACCACGGACCCTTGGGTCTGTAGTCAGCGCCTCTAACAACTGAGCCATCCTCGCACCCTAAGCCATCCTAGATTCTTTTGATTCCGGTTGTAGATTCCTACTTGTAATTTTGGCCATTTCCTGCTTTTTTTTACTTGAATTCGTCCTAATGTGCACCCGTCTGATATTTGAAACTCCTGCCTGAACTATGAACAAGAAGGGCAAGAAGCCATAGCTGATTAGTTATTGGTTCAGTACTCGTCCGGACGGCTTGACCTCGATCCCTACGCGCGATACACACTTTTTTCTATAAGGAATCAAACTTTAAGGAACCAGTTGCGGCGCCAAGGGGTGGTATGGGGGATAATTATCCTCCCCCTACTTTTTCTCAAGACGTTTTCAAATTGAAATTTTTATCGAAAAATTGTCTCAGAAAAATTAGTCACAACCTGTAAATCTGAACGTTGTCTTTGTTGACTGTCTCTCACTATCATTATAAACTTTCTAATATGGTCGGATTTTGAACTCTTTACTAAAATTTGGGGGCCCAGCCCCCTGGGAAATAAAGAAGTTGGCTATCAATTTTTTAGACTAATTTTTCATATTCTTGGTTTCACGGATGAAAATCATCTCAAGAGATTCAATCAAGATAAAAAAGCAACGACACTGAAAAATGTAAAAAAAATCACCTTTGAACCCTCAGCTAGGAGCTAGGCCTCTTTCTACCCTGTGCAGTTGGCAGCCGCCGTTAGCAGTTGCAATTAATTTTTGACCCCCCCCCCTCTCCTGGAAAAAATATAAGTCTGCGCCTATGCTAGTCAAAGAATCCTTTGCTTATTTAGGCCATTCCCTACCAGTAGTCAGCAGTGGCCGGTCGCTGCTTTAGACGCTAGAAGTCTTTACGAATAAAAAGTCCATCCCCAAGAGTTTCAATTTACCTCTTCACAAGGCTGCAAAACTTATCTGGGTACAAGGGCCATAAAAATACGAGGATGGAAATGAAAGTGGGTTTCGGGTGCACATACTTTTATTCATAAGCGTACGGCGGAATTTTTATAAGGGGGGCGGTAGAATTTTTGCCCGAGTACAGAGACATGCATATATTTATGAGCCTGTTGGTGAAAAGAAACCTGACATAGGAATATTTACATTACGAGTTTTTAGGCATTCTTGGTCGATTTGATAATGCAACGATATTGACTCGTAGCTTTTAGTCTTTGGGTTATTTGAAGAATCCACGAATGTTCAACCAAATTGTCTAAAGTAAATCCCATCACTTTCCAGTGTGATTCCTGCCCGACTATTTGCGGAGAATTTTTGAAAAAATTGCCCGACTGACATGGTTTTTCGAAAACTGTGGCCCGTACGCTTATGCTTTTATTTCTCCTGTATCGAGGGTTTCCCGGCAATTTATGACAGGCACGTCGAGAACAGGGAGCTCGGTTAATTATCATTAATTGTCAAATGGTAGTATATTTCCTTGATAGAATTATTCCAAATAAATTTATTCCTCACACTCTCATTTAAATTACTATAGCACTGTCCAGCAAAAATGGCGCTGAAGTTGCAGCTATTAGTGGTCATCTTGTCAGCGTTGGTTATTGAAAATCTTGGAAATGCTCTCGCGGCCAAAAAGAAGTCATCGATATTGATATACAAAGGTTACAACTGCTTGCTTTTACTTTCAATTTGTAGATTTTTCGATTACTTTTTGCTCAATTTTAAGGCAAACTATTGAAATTTAAGCCACGATTTATGAGTAGGGTGGATGTTATATCAATTTTGCCACCAAAAGAATGTAAAATCTAGGATTTTGCCATTCCGGGCAATAGAATCTCTTGACCAAAGCTTTTAAAAAGCTGTTTTTTGAGATTTAAAAATTACGGAAGATGTTTAAGAATCAAATCCACACAATGTCAAATACTTTTAAAAATATTTAAATTTACTAATACTTCAATTCGAGCAGTGATTATTTGCCCGTAAATACCGTATCTAGATGTAAGTAAACATAGGCCCGTGGCAACGTTTTCACCCTAATTCTCGTCCCAGTCTCTTAATGTAAATTATGCGCGCGGATCGAAAGATGTATTGTTGATTGGCAAATGGTTTTACTTTATACATCTTTGTATCTTCTTTAACTTCAAGTTAAAACCCAATTTTAAAAATTTGCGTTTCCTTAATTTGCCAGCAACCTGAAGGGTGGGGCACCAAAATCAAATTAGTGTCTAACACCCTAAATCATTGTTGGTGAAATCTGTCCCTGAGCTTAGTTTGGAATAATCAGAAAAAAGAACTTTGAAACATCGCATTTAATTAATTTAGTGCAATAAATATTCTTAAGGAAACCTTTTGATGTGCATCTGTTTTATAGGGACAAAATGGTGTGGTCATAACGATATCGCAAAATCTTATAATGACTTGGGAAAATACAGGAAAACGGACATGTGCTGCCGAACGCACGATAAGCATTGCAGTTTACGTATTAAGGCCTTTCAAAAGAAATATGGTTTGATCAATTGGTCGATCAAAACAGCATCTGACTGCAATTGCGATATTGCGTTTAAGAAATGCCTCGACAAGGCAAGTACCTTGCATGCTAGATAGCTATCTATTTTGTACTATAGATTTCTTTGCGTTTAATTAGTTGGTGTCAACTAGTTCAATTTACTATATCAAAGACCTAGAGAATGTAGCAACTTTAACAGGTTATTGTTGATACTATTTCATCTTAAGGAGTGCATCGTAAGTGGCTTTGGTATTGTTGGGTGTGTCCTGCAAACCCCTTAGAGACTCATTGCTAACAATGAGCCATTGCGATACGCATGTATCCCATAATGCATGTTTAGACAGTCTGAAATCAGTTTTGGTTAATCCGTAAAAGTTTCCTGCTATTGTTTTAATCGTCACCTGAACAATTTGGCACGCTCGCAAAGGCTCATTGTTAGCAATTAGTCTTTAAGAAACAAAGTCATAAAATTCTATTTTCAGAACTTTTGATCCTTGTTTTTAAAACCTGAAAAAATATTGTGACATACCATTAAATATACATATGCTTGATCTATTATGTGTCTATCTCTAACTTCCATTATTCTTGGTCCACTGGTGGCCGGTTTTTCTGGTTGGGTGAAGAAAGACAAGCATTATGTCATTTATCAAAATAAGATTTATATGACTTCCTGTATTCGTTTAAGATACAGTAAGCTTAATGACCTTGAAAAAAGCAAACATTTCACAACATACTCAAAGCTTATTCATCTGACACTCCTCAGAGTATAAAACCGTCAATTGTACTCAATACCAAGTATAGTTTTTGCCTTTGCCTTTCCGATTTTTTGATTTTTTACTAGTTTTAAAAGGTCGACAAATACTTTTCCTCTGATACACCCACGAGAGCACAATACCTCTGTTCACGATTGATCACTTTGTAAGCTTCCTTGATTCTTGTTGTATTTTTATCACTTCAATTTCAGGTGAACAACCGCCCATCAAATGGCGTTTACCGTATCTACTTCGATATCTTAAAACCTCGATGCGTTCGTGTCAAGATTGTGAAGAAGAAGATCTGCTTACGACGTACAATGCCTGCCAAAAGTCTTGGAACACTGACATCAATTTCCAAGGTCAAAACCAATCATCCCCCTCTCCCCCACGGAACAATGTTGGTTTACCATCAAACGGATTAGGATTTTAGGAAGCACTTTCTTTTGCGCTTCATTTATGATATTTCTCTAAATCATCAACATTGTTTGAGGGGGAAGGGGGCGGAAGTAGCAAATTTTTTTCATGAAAGGAACGAAAGATATCAAATGCAGCGTAAATTGGTGGGTGTTCCAAGTACTTTTGGCAGGCATTGTCTGAATTTCATTTTGAAGCTTATTAGATATTCCACCAAAACCAATATCCTCCTATAGGTTTTTGATGGTGCTGATTCCATTTCTGCCATTTTCAACATCGTACGTGTTACCGATAAGGAGATATGGGGGTATTGTTATTTTTCGGGGGTGGGGGTAAGCTACCCCCATAAAACTAAATGCCATATTTCAATTAAGGTGAAAATTGCTAAAATCAAAATCGATTTCCAATAAATAGGATCAAGATTGTATTTTGAATCTTTTCAAAGGCTCGTAGCCAGATAGCTGTCTAAGAAATAATGGGATAGATGAAGGAGACAAATATGAGTGGCAGCTAGAAAATAATCTAAAAATGGAAAGGATGCAATTTTATAAAAGTGACATCGATTCCTCTGTTTCATGTTTCTAATTATAGATAAGGTCGTATTTGAGAATTATGTCGGGTAGTTGCTCTCCTTTTATCACGGATTTACAAGTTGTCATTCATATAGGCCCTTGTTGTGCAATTCAGTGCCCAAATGACAAATTTCAGAGTGTTTACCTAAATTGTAGAAAGGAACCCCGTGTTTCCCACATCAGAGTTCCCAACTGATTGATCTACTATTCCATGTTGGTTGGT